CAAGCATGAAACATCTCTGACAAAAATATGAAAAAAAAAATGAAATTTTGTTTTATCATATATATATATATATGTATATATTTGTATGAATTTGAAAATTTATATATATCTTAATATATATAAATTACGTGTCACGTTGTTTGTTCGTAATGGATTCCTAAACTACTGAACCGATTTGAATAAAATTTTGCACACTGTGTGCAATTTCATCCAACTTGAAAGATAGGATAGTTTATATCTCAATTTATAATTGCAATATTATTTTATTGCCTATTATTTGTTTGTTAACAAAGTGTCATAATTATCTCTGTTATTAATATATATATATATATAATAATTAATATTATATTTATAAGTTAATATAATTATAATTTATATATGTAAATTTAATATATAATTGAAAATAAAATAAAAATTAATAATATAAATATAATATTAATATAAATAATAAATATTAATTTTATAATATATATAAATATATATATATATATGATAAATGTTAGATCACATAAGAGAGACATATGTGTTATATAATAAATGTTGTAAAAAGGCAAGTAAAAATTCGAAAGATACTCGACATTGACGAAGTAAATCTCTATTTATTACTTTCATAAGTTATCTGAAAATATGACACACTATATTTACCTTTAGGTTATTTTAATAACCCCCTACCAAGTCACATATCATTTTATTCCAGAAAAGTAAATCTGACTTATTAAATCCCTTTCTCTCTCTCTCTTTCTCTCTTTATCTCTTTCTTTCATTCCCTTTCTTTCTTACACTCATACACATACAAACGTTCTTTCTCTTTCTTTTCCTTTACTTAGTCACTCATACACATACAATACATATATTTACTTTCTATCTTTCTTTTACATTACGAAGTGACGATAACCGAAACATTAGTGAGTTTTATCGTCATAATTGTAATCCTGTGTACCATAACTCATTTTTCAAATTATTATTGCATCACTCGGTTGCATTTTATTCCATACACACATATACATACCCAAACAAATATATATATATATATATATATATTTATATTTTTATTTTATAATAATATAAATATAATTGCAACCAAACCAAAATCTAACATATTGTCTCTGCTAATATATATA